CTGCACACAGAGCTTTCCAGCTGCTGATATTTTGTTTGGATAGATCCCCAGTGTGAATACACCCCTGTTAGAACAGTGGCATGGCCCCTCTGGTTCCTGTCCTGATGGTTTTTACAAAACCTGAATCTGGGAGGTGAAGGAGCTGCTGTTCAAACACACAGACCAGGATTCCTCGAATTTGTATGTCATCCTGACCCCTGCAGTGTGGGGATGCCAGTATTAAATATTCCTGCCTGGAAAGCAAATGTTCTTTCATCAATGTCCCAGGGGATTTTTTTCCCCCTGTGAACTGGTGCTGAGTAACACACTACTATTCAAAGTGAGTGTCAAGTAGGGGTGACAATTCTGCATTTATCTTCAAATGAGAGGACTGCAAGAGCTGTCAGGTGACAAAAACAGACAGCCCCCTAATACTTTGAAAATACATCCTTTGGCATGCTGTATATGTAACCAGGACACTGTGGGCAGCTTATTCCCATAGACATGAGTGAAATCAGTGCATGATAAACACAAGCAGACAGTTCTTAGTATTTTTCATGAGGTTAAGCCTCGAACTAGGTATTGTAAGTAGCATGGTAAGAAAATAATTTTTAGACTGTATAGGAATACCCCTGTGTAATCAGTGTTGAATGTATAATATTACCTAAATTACCTGGAAAAGTCTGCAGTTGCTTGTTGATCTAATTATGTAAATTATGGCTTCTAAATGCCTATAGTTTTGCATATCCGTAGCTTCAGGTGTTTAAAAGGTCAAACCTACTTGTAAAATAAATCCTGTGTTAAAAATATATGGTGTAGCTTGAGTGAGATGGAACACTGTCTTGTTGTTTAGCTAGAGTAATTTATAATAAAATTTAGAAAATAGTTATAAAAATCATTATCCTAAAAACTGACCTTCTGCTTTCATGATATTTTGTTTGTATTCTGTAAGATAATGATCTAGAATGGATTTATATTGTCAGTCCTATAGTAATACAGAACAAAAATTATGATATTTTTTTTAGTATATGTTTTAAGATCTTGGGGAATTTTAAGAAGATATCCATGGGCAAAGTGATGCTAGAGCTTTAAGTTAGAACCTAAAAAGTTGTGCAGTAACCATGAGAAAATGTAATTCTGCATGGTCTGATGTTTACTAGATTTTTGCATGCTTTACTACTCTAAGTGAACCCAGCCACTGTGGTGATAATTTCACCAAATTCTGAGCTCAGTGATGATCCTTCAGCTGGTTTAATAGGTGTACTAAGTGAAGGTAACTTCAAGGGCCCACACACAAGAAGCTGAAGCAGTAGAATGCTGTTCTCTGCCGCTGCTGGCTCCACATCTGGGAGGGTCTTGGTTTTGTGTTGCTGATTTAAAACAAGAGTTCAAGAATTTGCCACATGATGGCACCAAAAAAAGAAGAGAAAACAATTCCTGGGGCAGCTGCATGGCAGGCTGCGCAGCTGTCAGCAGCACAGATTTGGCTACACAGTGATGCACAAATGGCAACAGCCTGTGCAGCTAAGGATGGCATCCGTGGCTCCCACAAAGGACTCCTGTCCTGACCCCAGTATCCTTAATGTTTTGTAATCTTCATTTCAGATTTGTCGTTCAGACTGACCAGACCACAGCCCCCCCTTCTTTTTGTTTACTTTGTTTAGTGATCTATGTGCAGATTTCCCAGGGTTCTTGGTTCCCCCAAGTCCGTAGACTGCTGAGATGTGACATTTCTCATGGCATGGCACCTGATGCTTTTGTTTTTGCCTCCCTGTTTCCACAGAGGATAAGTACAGCGAGCGGAGACGGCCGGCACTACTGCTACCCACACTTCACGTGTGCGGTGGACACAGAGAACATCCGCAGAGTGTTCAACGACTGCCGAGACATCATCCAGAGGATGCACCTCCGCCAGTACGAACTCTTGTGAGGGGATCACCGTGGAACCTGTGGTTTTAAATTCTTTGCTCCTTACTCTTTCTCTTGATACTACCCCACACAGGGTGGAAGAATATACTATAGAAATGTCAGTCTCTTCACTTTGTTTACTTTTAATTGTTTAACCTTAAAGCTGATTTGAAGCAAGTTTGGGTTATTTTCCCTTCATGCTTTTTGGGACTATTTTTGTGCTTTATTTTGACATGCCACTTCTTCGTCATTCCACTAAGCCCTTTGGCTACCTCTGTTCCCTTAGGTTTTTGTTTTTTTAAAACTGAACGTGACCTGCTAAATTTTTTCCAGTGGGTTAACCTCAGTTCAGACCGGTATGTCATCTGGATGACACTGAAGTCATACCTATCCCTCTGTGTGGGTTTCCTTTTTAACATGACATTGAAGAGTACTTGATGGGTGAAAAAAAGATTAATGCACTTTGTATCAGGTTATTAAATACTGTTGAGGAAGTAGACACACAATGTAGCAGCACCACAATATTTATTACTCTGTCACAGTTTTTAGCATTTCTGAGTTGCAGGTCAACTGATAAAGTGACCTCCTCTTTTAAGCCGTTACTGGCACAGGAAGTAGAGTAGATAATGAGAGGAACAGTGAAGACAAAGCAATTTTTCTGGGGTTTTGGAGCTAAGTGTCTCTGCACACCTCAGGCATTTGAATTACAGCTACTTTTCAGCCTGTTGCATCTAGGCAGAAAATTTACCACCCTCACTTATGTTATTTGTGCTGTCCACAAATGATCCTTTTAGTTCCGATCATTCTTGGACAACAGTCCTCTCCCTATATATATTTTTTTGTTTTACTGCTGGTTTATTATATTGTACAGACTGTAAAATGTAATATTATTTTGTACAACTTTATTGAAGAAAAATACTTGTAGAAGATCTTTGTGCCTTGATTATGGCTGTACCTGTAAAATGAGCTAAGATGTAAGTATGTTTTTGATTGCGCTGTACAGCTTGATGTCAACCTTACCTGCAGCAGTGACTGGAGGTAAGAACTTTATCTGTAGAGTTTAGGGGTTTTTTTCTGGTTTATATAAAAATGCTCTTTAGTATAAAAATTATAAATTATGCAAATTAACCACTTACCTTTCCAAGTAAGGTATTACAGTCACCGGATGTTGCAGCAAACATGCCTTTCTCTTTTGAAGTCTCAGCTTTAAAACATTGGAATTCATTCAAGTGTCCAAATTGCAACCTGGTGTTGTTTTAATGGGAAACAAGGATTTTTTTTCTTTTTTCTCTCTTATTTCTTTTTTTGGTTTTGGTTTTTTTTTGTCCTTTATATTTAGAAAATATGTTTGGTAATTCTTTGGTCATTCATAGAACTTCACAATTGCACAGACCGATTGTGAATGTGTAAAGCACCATTCTATAGAGCTCTTCAATCTTTGTACCAACAGCGGCTTTCATTGTGCAAGTAAATAGCGAGAAAGAAGATAAAAAAAGGTGTATAAACCCTTGTGTCTGGCCTAAGAGAATTACAAGATGACATTTTTATTTCTCTTTTAATAAAGAGACACATTAGAAAATTATTTTATTTTAAATATTGTAGAATCAAAATGTGTGAATATTTCTCAAACTTGAATAATTTATGCAAATGACATTCTCAAAACAAGTTGTGGTACAGTACAATATATAAAAAGCAAGAATTGCTGTAGCAATAAGGCATGTCCTTTTTAGTAACTATAACACTGCTTTATATTTTATACATAGGTGTTTTATGTCTGTGACTATATACTTTTCCTGTGTCCAAGATAACCTGTACAAATGTCTAAAATTACAGTTGCAATAACAGAAACCTAGAGAAGTGTTAGACTACATTACTTTATAGAATGTTTTACCACACTTCGGACCATTCCCCCCACTTCATTTTAAATTTAGGGAGAGGTGAAGAGCTAACACAGTCCACACACTGGCGTATAAATCAGCAGGTTTTATTAACTTTTTATTGTTATTAGTTATAAACCCCAATCAATCCTCTTTTTAAAATCAGACTACAGTCCAATTGAGAACTTGTTTCCAGTTGAATATAAAACAGTCCCATTTTAGATACTCTTAATATGACCATTTTCTCTTCCCAGAAATCTTTATGTTGAATTTAGTCATATTTCCCAAAAAGTGAAAGGCTGGGTGGAATAAGCTAACAGTAAACAGAATTCTCTTATTTCTCATGCCAAAGAAAGTAATAGAATGAATAACAAAAGATAGTAATTTTTTTTTTTTTTTAACTAGCCCTAGCCCAGGAGTTCAGGTTAGAGCTCCCAGCCTCTGCAGGACCATCAGCAGGAAAACTGGTCCTGGTGTGAAGTAGTCCTGTTTTTTCTGGGGTGGGTGGGGAGCAGCAGTAGGCTTGTCCCACCTTCCCCCACACACTGGAGACACTGAGTTCAGATTTTATCTTTGTGGCACAGCTGGTGGCCTCTGCTTCCCCACAGAGGAGCTAGTGCAGTTCAAAATGTGACACTACACTAAAGTCAACGAACTTGTGGAATGTAAAATAAGGTGCATTCCTATCCCTGGCTGTAGACTGAGGGCTGAGGCATAGGATAATGTTACTGCAGCTGTATTTGACCTTCCTTCTTGCAGGAGATCAGCAACTGGAGGGCCCCTCACCACAGATCTCTGGGATGCAATAGGGCCCTCTTTTTTAAAGCTCATCATAGCACATCTTTTTGAAAGCAGCAGCTTGAGGTGTCACCCTAATTTTTTTTTTTAAGCAGTTTTCAAGTGTGTATCAGCAAACTGGATCCTTGAGCTTCTTCCCTGTGTTGTCTGGTAGATGGATAACTGCAAATTATAGTCAGCTACCAATTTACTGTGTCAGGAACCAGAAGATTTCTTGTCCCAAACCACAGTCCCTTACACACAACACTAAAAAAAGGTTATGGAAATCCGCATCTCTCAGTGTTGATGCATCCAGATTCTGCCTGACCCTAACAAACACAAGTATGACATTTGAAGGGCCATGCAGCAATAAAACAGACAAACATTTCCAGTTTGCAAGATTCAGCCTCCACCAGGGTAAGACACAAGTGCAGACAAGTGATGAGGCTATACGATTTACATAATGTACAGTTACACTTTTAATATACATATTTGATACAAAAATTATAGCAGGAAAAGGACTCATTTGATTGTCGAATACAGTATTTTTGTACAGCATGAAACGTTCATTTCAGTTAATTATTTATCCTGTAGTAGTCATATCAGCTGTATAGGACTTCTATGGTATGTGTAAATGCAACCTGCCTTCAGACTAGCAATCAAATTAGGTCATTTGCTGGCATGAATATAGTCTGATGTTTGACTGTTCTCAGCTTTGGTATTTCAGTGACTGAATGCAGATGTCTGGCTCTTCATACTGCTTTATGCTTACTGATTAAACGCTGAGCAAAATAAAACGGTGGAGTGAGAAGCTGAACATGAGCTAGTACCAGGATCACAAGCAGAGCACCTGCTGCACAGTAGATAGTGAAGACTCTGCTCTCAAATGGAAGGAAGCATTTTTGGAGGGAGAAGTCAGTTGGTGTTATGCTGCCCTGGAAAAGAAATGAAGACTGTCACTTTGCTGTGTTACAGTGGGTTCTGAATCAGGAGTGAACACCACAGCTGTCAGATCTCCAATTTCTAAATCCCTGTGTTGGGTGGCAAGGGTTGGGGCCGGTTTCCTAGTACCAGTGCCTTCTCCAGGGGGCTGAAGAGTCCATACCTTGTGGTGCTGGGCACTAACTGGAATATTCACCAGGCCAACATTAGCCCAGAGGCCAATCTTCCCATCTAGCGTAAACAAAGAGCTGGGCTCCTCATCTGATTTGCCTTCAAGAGAAGCCTAACTTTAGCTGCTGCAAATCCACCTGGAAGGAGCCTTTCCAGGCTGAAGTTAGGTTTTGTGAATGTGCCCCTTCCTTCCCCAAGCCCTCCTCCTTACCCAGTACATGCTGCAAAAACACACGTTGGCTAATCCAAATTAGGAATATGAACTTCGGCAACAAAGAACTTTGTTGGGGTTTGGCTTGACTTTCAGTTTAAATTAAAGTTTCCAGCAGATCGAGGCTGAGGAGTTCAAACAGTAGTGAAGAGGATGCCACTTTAATTAGCCAACCTCTTGTTTTGCAGTGAAGATGTGCTGTCTGGCGTGTGCAGAGTGTGTGTGCAGTTTGAAGGCAGCTACTCTCAGGACCATGAAATAAACAGAACTACTTTCAACAACAAATATTAACAGTTGCATAAAATGAATTTAAACATATGGGGTTATCTGTGTATTAAGCAGCCTAAACTCAACAGCAGTAAAACATACATAAAAGATTTCCCCTTCCAAGTCACAGACTACTCTATAAACAGATTGTAGGTTTTGCTTCTTACTCCAAGTTTCTAAGAGTTCTGTTTTATTTTTGAACTGGGGAACTAATTGATTTACCTCTAAGGATATACTGAGCACTGGAACTGCCTGCACAAGCATAACCAACACACTGTCTAAGATGTGAACTGGCAACGAGGAGGCAGACTGTGGGCACGTCACAAACACTTTCACTGCATTAATGCACACGTTTGAAAACCGTGATCACCGTGCAAAAGGCTTTGAGGTGGATACAGTCTTGTTTTCACAGCTGGTAAATCAGCCAAGCCAAACTGGTCTTTCTACTGTTCAGTGCACAATACTGATTATTTTTACAAGTCAATAGTTTACAGTGCACCCTCTTTCTAAGAAAATGTACCCAGATACTAATTAGGTCTTTAGCAGCATTGCTTTGTACCACACAGAACATGTGGCTCCCACAGATGTACTTTATAAAGTGGATGCAGTGTACTGAGTGGGTTGGGTGGGTAGGCAGTTTTTTTTATTATTTTTCGTTTTTACAGGTAGAATCAGTTTTAAAAAATATAGCTGACTGCCATGTTGATTTATCTATGAAAGTTATCTGACAAAAATAAAAAAAAAAATTAAAACTTACCATGATGAAACTAGGATTGTTTCTATTCCTCCAACTGAATGATGGGACACTGATTTCTGGAATTTTCCCTGCATGCAGCACTTCACAAGCACTATGAGTGTGCCCACTGAGAATCAAACGGGGCTGAAACCACCATAGCAGCTAGAACACGAAATGGTAAAGCACAAAAATTAAGTCACAGCTAAAAAGAAATTGAACTTAAAAACCTCTTTTTTTTCCTTTGAACATTATGGCAATTATTGTGTGCTTACAAAGTGTTTCCTGTAAACTTCTGTTTTCCAGTAAGAAATCTGTTGGTATTGCAATATCAATCCTACTCATTTAGCCCTGATCTCAAGTACTGGGCTTTTTTTTTCATACAGATCAGAACAAAGGTAACAGCGTGCTGTGGATATCACAAAGAGAAAAACTTTGGGTTTAGTAAAGCAATGCTGTTTTCTTGTCTAAGGAAGAATCTCAACAATCTTTGAGTGAAGACATTTATGCAGAAGGAAAGAAACAATGACCATTGAGTTTTAAGGGAATATTTTACATTTTCTTGTAGTTACTAATTCAACAGAAATTATGCTTTCAAAGTGTTGGAAAACTGTGGCTTCATCCACATTATTGACAATAATTTACACAGTACAGAAAGCACAGAATGATGAAGTGGAGGTAATGGCACCACAGCAGATTTAAGAGTGCCAAGACTTAGGAGCTGTACCTGGGAAGCCTGGCAGGACCAAGGCCATGATGGTGAGGATCCTCAGGGGAGCAGCTCTAACAAGCAGCCTCTCCCAGGCCTCATTACACAGGAGCAGCTGTACTCTGTTTGTCTCAGCCAACAGCCTTACCACAATTTTTAAATCTATTTATATCTACAGTCATGTCCCACTCTCACCCACCCACTGCCACTCAAGTTCCCAAGAAATCAAACCTTTTGTGATGCCTCTTGAGACAGTACATCATACTTTTCTTTAAAGGGGATGTTTTTCTCCTCTGGAGGAGCAGAATCTTCTCCAGTGCATTCAGCATCACTTTTCCGATAGAGAGGGTAATGCTGGGAGTAATTAAAAGCAAGGATTAGTTGTTAATGATCCAGCCTTTCTGGAACAGTAATAAATCCACAGAAACAACATGTCCATATGTTGCCTCACCCCACTTCTAACACACCTGTAAAAGGATGGGTTCTGAAGCTGGAAGCTTTTCCACATCACTACATCTTTTGTTGGAATGATTTGGTTTCTGTGAACAAAATCAAGCCATAGAAGGGGTGAAGATAATTAAACAATAGCTAGCTTTTAAGGGGTTAGGGAGGGTGAGGTTGTTGTTGGATTTGATTTTTGTTAAATGTTATTATCTGAGCTAAACTGCTTTTTGTTAAGCAGTTTAGGTCAGATACTACCCACTGTATGAACTCCTAAGAGCTTTACTGTGGACTAGTGAAACTCCCCATTCTGTACGTGCTGTAAATACAGCTGTGCTCTTTCTGACTGTGATGCCTTAAGTTTTAGCTCTTATATTTTTCAGATTCTGTGCTGCTTTTGTGTATAGTTTTGAGCTTCGTCAACTGCAGAAAGCAGCAGCAGCAGATCTCTGCACCAACAAGGCAAAGGAGTTGCCCAAGGGAAATAGTCTGGCCATTTTTCCACTGGGAGCTGGTTTCCTGATTGACTGCCAGCCCAGCCAGTCCTGCTGCCTACTGTGCATCCAGTCAGCCTATGAAAAAGGGAAGAGGAAGGAAACACAAGAAGCAATTTGATATGATGAAAAAACACAATTAAAACACTACGAGGGTATGAGGAAAGGATTGCAGTAGAATCAGGAAACTAAAAGAACATGCTTGAAGGCTATAAAACAGAATACTATCCATAAATATAAATGCAGGCTTGTGTATCTGGAGTCAAAGGAAGGGTTACAGAACTGCCATTGCTCAGAACACAGGAAATGACACTGCTGGCAGCACTGACAAGGAAGTTGACACCATTAGTGCTAAGCAACACTGTTAATAGTTAAGTAAACATGGTTAAGAGGGATGTGAGGGGAGAAAGACTTGCTAACAAGTTGCACTGTGAATTGGAAGCAGATTTTTTTCGGGAGAGTCTGGTTGTATCCTGGCTATGCTACAGTATCAGCATTCCCATGGTGGCAGAGGAGTCTCTGGCTGTAGTCAGATCTTCAATAATCTCTTACCTGCTGGGAGCAATTCAGTTTGTGAGAAAGTGCCACAAGTTTTGCCTCTGAGGTACGGCAGACAGCACAGCCATCGCCCTCCATGGCCACACTGTTCACTAGGACAAAGCTGGAAAATACCAGGGGGCAGGCAAAGAGAAGTGGGGAGGACAGGAAGGCATTTGTTGTTCATGCACACGTGTGGGATAAACTTCATTTTATAAAATGCAACTGTTCCTAAGTTGGACATAGCTCAACAAACCACAGAATGTAACAGCTCCTGAAATCATGTGTTTCAAATCCTCCTCTGAGTATCTGTACCACAGCCATGTCTCTGCCTGGTTGGCTTCTTTATACAGTTGTTAATTAGATTGCACAATGTACCTTATGCTTCATGCTTATACTAAAGATTTTTATATTTTAATGGGTACTTAAGTTGTATTCTAGTGGAATGTTAGAAGTTCATCACTAAACTAAATTCTGAGGGAAAGGAGAACTTGCTTCTCTCCCCACACAGTTTAGACCTCAGAGACAGAATCTGAGACATTGAATTTCTTCAGATCAGCTGAAAAGCAGAACAGCACTGCATTTGGGTGACTGTCCTGAACAAGCTTAGTTTTGTACTTAGTGGTCTCTGACACACAAAACAGGATTTTTTTCTTAATAGAAGGCTTCCCTGTAGATTTCAAATCAACTTAAGTTCTGCCACAAGATTCATACCCGTTTAGTCACACATTCAGCTTGAGATACACCCCCAGTTCAATTCAGTCTGTTTAAAAGACAAAAATAAGCTGAATGCTTCACTTCAGAGATACTAGTCAATAGTAAAACAAAAATTAATTATCTTTTAGCAAATTAAGCTGCTTTTATACCATAGATTTGTTGTAAAATAGTTTATTTAGGAATATTAATAATGAAGCTCATTGCAATGAAGCTCATTGCAGTTAATGGATCCCAGACAGGCAATCTGCAACTGCATACAAGAATTCTGCTGTGCTGTTTTATCAAAGGAGACATGGAGATGTTCCTTAATAATTATTTTTAAACAGCTGAAATACATATCTTGAGTACCCCACATCTGCATGATAAGCAACAGCTTTATACTGAGCGTTCATGAAGCTCAGAAATCTTCCTAAAACAGACACAACCATTTCCAGACCTGTTCAGAATTTTTAATTAACCATTTATCTGTTTGCTTAATTAAGGGAACCAGTGTAAACATGTATGTTTTGAATCTCACATTTCCACAAGTGGGTACAACCCAAGGGCACACATGCCAAACACGGAGTGGCAATGGGCCTTCCCTTCCTGAATGTGAGACTCCAGCACCTTTCCACAAAGGCAGCACTGCATTCCCTGTTTGTTTCCTGCACGGTGTCCGGAGGTAACAGAGCACAGAGCAGCCAAGTGCAGCCGTGGGGACACAGCTGAGAGAACAAACTGCACCGAGGTCTGCTGGAAGCCGAAACCAGCTCGAGCATTACTACCCCACCTTGTGGAAAAACTGCAGACACACAACTGCTGTGTTCCCAAATTCCTCAAACAAGGGTTAAGTTCTGCAGACTAAATTTATTAAAATTAATGGAACTCCTAATTTGCAAACACAGAGGGGGTTGGTTCATGTTTCTTTATCCTGCTATGTTTACAGCCATGGCTCATTACCTGCTGCAAGGAAGTATAAAGGCACACCAGAGAAATGAATTCTGACTCCACAGTACTTTTCCATTTAAAAGGAAATTGCTACACTTTACATGCCTCTAAGTACAGCTTCCTGTCCATATCAAACTGCAGGTTTGTACAAAGTGTTTGGGGTTTAACACATCATAAGGTAGATGATTAAAAAAAACCAGGCCCTAAGAGAAGCATTCCCATACTATTTCATTAGAAAAAATTAAATATACTCACTTTATTCCTTTCCGAGTTATCAGCTTTCCTGAAGTAAAGTTGAAAACCTTTTCAAATCGATTTACCTTGTAAGTAGTCATTCTGTGTCACAGAGCAAAAATACAACTGAGGTAAGAAATTGCCATTGGAACTCAGCTGCTTTACAGTTTGCTGACCACTCACGCAGCTTGCTGCTCCATTATCCAGTTCACACAATCACTCAGGAAGCTCACAGGGATGCTCTGACACCTCTTGTGTCCTCCAGCCCCTCCCATCAGTGCAAGCACCAGCAGAGTGAGGGCACTTACACCCTCCTGTGCTAACGGGAGTGGAAATATGCTCAGGTGCCTTTCTAAGGAGAAGGCCAAAACAAGGAAAAGCAGCTTCAAGGATTCCATGTCAGTGCAGAAGGATCAGCTCTGAACAACCCTCATATGGCCAGAGAAGCATAAACCTGTTTTGTGCACAGGTCTTACTCTAAATCACAACCCTTTCTAATCTGATCATGATCCAAAAGTTCCCATATAAGCACAGAGCAGGTGCCTCAGACCCTGCACAGTTACTGTGGGTGTGCTGACCCTTCATTCTTGGCACTTGTGTACTCCTGGCACTGAGGAGACTCACTCGTAATGAAATCCGATGTCGTGGTTCCCAGCGATGACCACCAGCTCTGTAAAAACTGAATGCTGGAACATCTTCTGGAACCTCCTGACATCATCTGCCCAGGCCTGCAGGAGAACAACAGAAGAAGAAACTGGTGCTGTTCCACAGCGTCAAAGGTTTTGTAGTGGGTTTGCAAGGCGAGGTTTTGGTACTGGAGGGGCGGCAGGGGTGGCTTCTGTGGGTGCCTCCCCTGTGTCCTACAGAGCCGGTGCCAGCCAGCTCCAAGCTGGACACACCACTGGCCAAGGCTGGCAGTGCCTCTAGGATAGCAGAATTAGGAAGGCGGCAAAAAAGGACACTCTAAAACTGCAGTTAGAGAGAAGAGTGAGAATTTGTGAGAGGAAGAGCCCTGCAGACACCAAGGTCAGTAAAGGAGGCAGGTCTGTTCATGTTTTCTCTTCCCCTCTCCAGCCAAGGAGGGAAGTGACAGGGCAGCTTTGTTGGGCACTGGTCATCCAGCCAGCGCTGGCCCATCACAACCGTATAACACAGAAGCACAAACTCAGAGGTTTACATTGTGTAAGTTTTATAGGAGGTGCAAAACTGTCAAGGTACTTCCAAAAATGAAGGAGAATCACAACATTCCAACTCCTATCTGAAAAGCTAGAAACTTTTACCAACAGGACAACTGTAGCAGTATTAAGCAAAGCTTTGCATACCTAATCTGCTTCCATTTCCTTCAAGAAACCCTCATTTTTTGAAACAAGACAGCTGATGATGTCATACCTGAGGTGAGCTCCATTTTCCTTCATCAAAAACATCTCCCAGAATAAAAACAATATCTGGCTGCAGTAACCATAAGGCAGTTTGGAAAGATCTCTCCATTTGCCATTCCCTGAAAGGAAAATACAGAACCAGTTATCACTGCCTTATCTCTGGATCCTCAGCTCTGAATACAGGCACATAGCCCAGCAATAGGAATGGGAAACTGGCTCTTACACACTGAAATATGAAAATATATTATATTATGAAATATATTTTCATATACTAAATACTTAGAAATATATTAAATACTTAGAAATCAAATGTAAGGACAGTAGGTGCATCTTACCTGGTGGGTAATTCAACTGTGATACAATCAGGACCAAGACATGCAAGAAGTAATAGCAGCTTGTTTATTTTTTCATTACAGCTCTAATTAATTGCTGTTCAATAGAACAGTGAATTATTGTCCCTTTAGCTATTACTGAAGACTCTAAAACTGGCTAGAGATTATTCTAAAAAATTGACAGTTACCTTCTTAGCTTATCCAGCCAATGTCCTTTGATTTCACCAAGTAGGTGTGTATCAGCTAAAATTATGGCCTTTAGGACTGAAGCTGAAGTCTCTTTTTCAGTCATGTGAGCTCCACCTTTCACGTTTGGCCATCGGCATTGAAATATTACCACATAGTAAATTAAAAATTCACAAAATATTAACACTGAGCTGACAAAGCACACAAGTTTCAGCAGAAAACAGAGCCTCCTCTTCAGAGGGAAATTCTTCACAGCAGTTGAGCTAGAACTCAGCATTGCAGTACCAGCATAAGACAATGGCTCAAGTTCTCCTCTCAGATGAAAACAGCTTGGGCTGCTCTAAGGATCACACTGGGCTTTTTGTCAGCACAAAACCCCTGTGGAGAAAATACAAAATAAAATATTCATTGAGTCTGCATTCCCTGTGGAAAGCTACCATGCAAGGCCTACAGTCTTAACTTCTTGTCACCCTGAAAGGTTTGGGAATATGTAATTGAGCAAAAGCATAAAGTTCTCCTCCAGGCACACAGCTGGCCAGCTGAGCACAGAGCTGCACTCGCTCCCACCAGCACCAAGGAAAGCAGATTACAGCCAGCCAGGATCTTGGTGCTGATGCTTTTTTAAGAACTTCACAGTGAAAACACTATGAGTGGGGCTCAAATGTGGGTAAAGACAGAGCTTCGCTTGAACAGCAGCTGCAACAAAGAAAAAAAAATCCGATAGGATCCATAGAGAATCACTGAGGTTAGAAAAGAACCCCAAGACTGAGTCCAAGCCTTAACCCAGCACTGCCAAGTCTACCACTAAACCATGTCCCTAGGTGCCACATCCATACATCTTTTAAATACCTGCAGGGATTGTGACTCCTCCACTTCCCTGGGCAGCCTGTTCCAATACAGGACAACCCTTTCAGTGGAGAAATTTTTTCTGGTATCCAATCTAAATCTCCACTGGCAAACTTGTGGCGACTTCCTCTTGTCCCATCACTTATTTGTGAGAACAGACCAATACCCCTCCAGCTACATAATTTCAAGAAGTTGGAGAGAGCAATAAAGTCTCCCCTCAGCCTCCTTTCCTCCAGGCTAAACAACTCGCACAGTTCTGGCACAAGTGCAGAACATGACTACACCAAATCAACAGCATTACCACCTTTGACATGGTTCATTGTAATCTCCAAGAACCAAGGGCAACCCACTATCCCAGAAGAAGTTTACAGGACATTTTCAGGAGCACTGGCACAGATACACAGGTAATTAACTAACACTGCTTCATTTCTGACAAGGGGAAAAGAAACATCTAAGCCTCAGGAAAAATAAACTTCACTGCAGCTGTAGAGAAACAATTAATGAGCCCAAATTGGTGAGGTAACTGCATTTACTGTTTTCTGCTGCCATGGATACCTTGTCACCTAAAGAGGCAATTTACCCCTTTTGAAACGCGAGTATTTTTTTGTTTCTTCCACAGCCCTTGGCAGGAACACTTTTTCAGGGTAAGCACCCACAAGAAACTATCCCAGCTGAGAGTACAGAGGCACCAACCCCTGCTCTCCAATGAAATCCCTTGGTTTCCAGGTCCAGCCTCTCAGGATCTCAGTCTGAAGAGCACTGCAGGTCTGAAAGCCTCGCCCTTTAGAGGTGAACTCTGTAGCATGATCACAGTAAAGGGACTCCAGGGGACCTATAGAGATGCTGCTTCACAGGCTCAGGAAGAACTTCTAGAGAAATCCACAAAATGTAGTCCCCCACCCAAAAACAGGATTGCAATTTTGCTTTCTACAATAGAAAAAAATCCTAATTTAGGATTCATATCCAGGATGTCAGCAATTACTGACCATCATATTCAGTGATAGCAGACCAAGTCTGAATTAGCTAAATCTGACTACAGCTGTGAATATTTGGTACCTTTGAAAATTTATACTCCACATATCAGGAAAATTGGGACAAAATTACAAATCCACACAAAATTAGTGGATTGTTTCTAAAATATTGGCCTCAGTTATATGCAGAACACAGAACAAAGTTAAATTGCTTCACTGTCCTATAAACTAGCCCATTTGATTTATGTCTCATGGAAAGTTATTACTGACACATGATTATTATACTATTTTTTCCAACCAAAACCCCTACTTGATAATAGCCATTTATTTTCAAACACAAGCTTCCCTTATCAGCACTACAAAGTACTTATTTGAGACAAAGAACCACGAGCCTGCACCATGAAACATTTCTAATATGCATTATCAAACAGTAGCATGACTAATACTTAACTGCATGGAATTCAGTTCTATCTAAACTTGGTTTAGCAGGAAAAAGCCACTGGCCAAATGTCACAATTCCACAATATGTGGAACTAGACATATAGACTGATTAACCTGTTTAATACTCCTCTTGCCTGCACTTTAACTAGCAAACAAAATAACAACACCTTAATTGTACATCTCACAAGGAGGAAAGATCAAAGCACAGGAATCTGCTAACTGGCACAGCAACAAGGAAAAAAAGACAGGCAAATTCTTATCCAAAGAATGTTATTATCCACAAATTTATATGGCTTTATCCTGCAAACTAGGAAGTAGTGCTTATTTGGGAGTAGACTTTGGTAGTCTGAGACAGTCTCCTCTTCCAACAAAAGCAGCATTAATTTGAACAGAAAATTCCAATAAGTTAATTAACTTGCATTAGCCAGAAAATGAATCCAGAAAATAAATAAATAAATAAATAAATAGGTATCACAGCTTCAAGAGCAAACTGATACTGTCAAGTTTAAAAAAAAGATACCCACACCAACAAACCAAACCTGCAATTAGTAGAATATAAAAGTATCTTCAAGGCAGAATTGCCATTTTCAGAAGTCACAGGCAGCACCATCAGTGCCCCAGAGCCGGTCACTTCCACACGCATTCCTGCCGCTAATTGTCACCGTCTGGGGAGTTGTGCCGCAGATGCGGAGCTTGCCAGGGGTGCCCCATCTGCACCCTACGCCGCCAGCCTTCCTGATAGTGAAAGGAAAAGCGGAAAGGGAAATAAAAAGAAAAAAAAAAAAAACCTAACACAACCTCATAGAAAGTCAGCGATGCAGATCGAGCTGAAAGACAGCTCCTACTACTGGCTGAGAGAAATCCCTGCCCACCTCGCTCTGCCACCTGCCAGCCCACGGCTGCTCCCGTCCCCTCTCATCCCATCCCATCCCGTCCCTCCTCCGCCGGGGCTGCACAGCCGCTGCTGGAGCTGCCGCGCCGCCTCTCACGGCTCATCGTTCTCATCAGAGCAGATTTCCCCACCGCAGCTGGGAGACCTTGGTTATGAGAGAAGACTGAAGGATTGCTCACTGTTTCTTGCTCTGCACGACATGAAAAAATCAGCCTGTGGACGGGGACAATTACTGAATCATTTACCAACGGGGCCAAAGTTTAAACACGCTGGAAGTGTAACTTTACCCCACAACACTGTGGGGGAGAAGACTCCAGTAACTGGCACTGCTTCCTTCTCCAGCATTCAAGTTTATTTTACTCATTAGCAAATGTCACAAACGTTTCTGCACTTATAATTCTCTGTTTTACATGCTATCCTCGTTATTTGCTTCCATGAGGATTACTGGCAACACAGATTTGCATTGCACCTCTTTTGCTTCCCATTCCCATCATTGTTCAGAACATTATCCAGCTTTAATTTACAATGAGCCAAGAATGAAACAAGGGAACACAGTGGTCTACAGCCAGAGCAGGCACAAGCAGTTCTGGAGCTTTACCCTATCACTTGGTGAATATGCAACTCTGAACACCGCACACGCTTTGAGGCAAATTTCTTTATTAAATTACAACTGCATAAAACTCCCCTAACAAACCAAGTGGGACACAAGAGTCTTAATCCTACTCCTAGTCCTATCCCTCAGGGTGTCCCTGTACTTTTATGAAGCTAATAAAGCTGTATTAGGTTATAAACAAGCTAAGTCCTTCTACCCTAAGCAGTTCTCAACTCCACCACCACAATGTCACAAAGGCAGAGATCTACACCTTTCAGAAAAACATAGTTCTGGACTATGTTTTTAACTATGTTAAATTTCCCTGACATGTCATTACAAACAAGTTGAGATTCAAATCTCCCAAGGTTCTGAAGCTACACTTGTAAATGGGAGTTGTCTCTTTTCAGTCCCTGCTCACCCTCCCTGAAGCCACACATTTCTGCCTTGTGGACTGTGACTTTCTGCCTTGTGGACTCCCATTTTCCTTTTCAGCTCTTCAAATACCAGAGTTCTTCACGTACCTCACTCTTGAATCAAAGAATTCTTCTTCTGATGATGCAAAATGCTCTGAATACACTTTCCAATTCTGAACACTATATCCTTCCTTCATCCACAATTTTTCATTTATTATTTGGATTGAAGAAAAATTTCAAGCAGAGATTTAGTATTTTTCTTTTAAGAAACTCCTCTGCAATAATTTAATTATAGAATTAATTTCTGTTTGCATTAGTGCATCCTTAGTGCTGAAATTCATGCAGACTGACAAATCTACACAGACACTTTGATTTTATGTAGCTTACAGAAAAGGATAAATTGGGAAATTCTGAAAAATAAAACAATTTCATTTTATTACCATACATACCCACAACCAGAATGCATTCTGCAAGTGTGAAAGAGATGTGTTTGAAACTTAGTTGAAGTTATGCAGATCACAGTTTATTTAAAAATATATAAACAAAAAAAAAAATCAAGGTCACAAAATACAACATTTCCAAGCACTTGTCATATGGAGATCACATTACTGAATCTATATTATCAAACTGTGGTACCACTTAAGCAATGGTAGGTTTAAATGTTGCAGTAATTATAAAATTATGTAGACACTCTACCTGGCATTAAAATACCCAGTAGTTACAAATGTGCTGTAAAAGGAAGTCCATATATTACACTGATTTGCTTCAAGCACTTTTCATACTCATTATTCAGTTTCACAGATTCCTGTACAGCATGTTTTAGATCTTCTACCTCTTCAAAAAAATCCTAGAAAAACCCAAAAATATTCACCTTAACTTTTTTTCAAAGACATTCTCAGCAAGAGCTAGTCAGCAGCTCAGTTATTCCAAGACACTTTCTATATTTTTACCAGTGTATGGCTGAGTTATGCAAACACAGCTATGGTGAGATACAGCAATCAACTACAACCTTAGGTAATAATTTAATAATTTCTGCCCTGAACACACAAACAGAGTTCAAGTCATGTTAGAGGCTGGAATACAGACTAGTAATAGGAAAGATCAGTTTTAAGAAGAGAAAAATATGGATTTACCAGACAGCTACAAAATGACAGTCCAATATGACAAGGGAATAATGCCCCATTCTAATCCTTTGTAAAACAGAAATTGTTGGGAAATCTATGGACAGAAGAGTATAATCACCCAAGACTTCATTTCGCCAATCCTTGAATGTTCTAATTACCAAAATAACAATGCATCTACCTATAACCATCTATATTTTACATTCTCCTCCCTATTCTTGCAGCATTTTTTAAATGAGCAGCTACATACATATAACATACAGCAACTTTAAACTACCTTAAAAAGGAACCACTGATAAAAAGCCACACCCTCAAGTTTATGTATCTCTCTTGCAAGATGAAGCTCTCAGCCACACATTGTCCCTGATTCCCAAACACAGGGATCTAGAACTCACCCTGGCTTTATGTTCTGCAAGTTACACATCCAATGAACTACCACCCTCTTTTACTGTTACCCCTGCAATTAATACCATAATGTTATTTAGTTTGGGAGAAAGGACTGCAAGGTATCACCCTGGCTTTATGTTCTGCAAGTTACACATCCAATGAACTACCACCCTCTTTTACTGTTACCCCTGCAATTAATACCATAATGTTATTTAGTTTGGGAGAAAGGACTGCAAGGTAAGAAAAGAAAAGAGATTCTTTTTTTTTTTTTTAATCCACATTAAAAAAAATCCACAACAACAAAACAAAAAGACTTGAGGAATAAGCAAAAATCAGTTTAAACAATTTGTTGCTGAAAATAAAACCTTATGTCAGTACATTAGACTGAGTCTTCTATAGTTAGGTAAGAGCTCATAATGTTGTTACATAACTTAAAGAATTACCAAATGTTCACATTTTCAATTTTTACACCTATAGATCTAACAAAAAATTCAAAGCCCCTGCCCTCCCTAAACTTGGAGTTCTGTCAGAGGCATAACTTTGACATGCTTAAGTTCAAGAGAAGACAGTCTTCCTTAGCTGATTAGCCCTTCAGGACATGAATGTTTCAAGGAGTCACTCATTTCCATCTCTCTCAGAATGCTATACACTGGGTTTTTATCTGTTTTGCTTGATAACAACATATGTTCAGCCTAGAGAAGTTTCAGCTGAGGCAGAAAAGTTTTTCAAAAATCACTTACTGTTAAGCTTGTCTTAAAATAAATTACCTTGTCTAATCCAGCTAATTCATTTTTTAGTGCTCTCTTTTCTGCAGACAACTTTCCATTTTCTTTCTTCAGCTTTTTAATCTCCTTCAACAATAGCTCTATATTCAAATGAAAAAATGTAGAGTTCAACCATTACAGTCAAACTCCCCCTCATATGAATCATATTACAGCTAAAGAGCTGCCTACCTTTTGTGATATTAGAAAATTATAGTTCAGCTTCTCAAAGTACCTTTTTCATACAGTGATTTATTCTTAAGAACAGCATATTCCCAGTACTATGAAAGATATCAGGATCTGCCAGTTGGATAATCTGGATCTGCCAGATTCTTAGATGTGGGATTATTTTACAATCCACAAAACACACATGACATGCTTTGATTATCTTTTTCAGGCTCATGAGAGGGTCACATCAGCCCTTGCTGATACACATTTCCTAAAAATTATGCCTACATTATATGATCTCATCCATCTGTTTGCTATGCTTTGAAGTGGAAGAGGATCACACCTTAAATTCTGCATTTATTTATGAGAGGAAGAACGTGCCTACATTATATGATCTCATCCATCTGTTTTCTATGCTTTGAAGTGGATCACACCTTAAATACTGCATTTACTTATGAGAGGAAGAACATACTGAAACCAACACTGTCCAGGGCTGGCCAATGTTTTAAGGCTAAAAACAGGTTATTCTGTGACTCAGTGGCTGAAAACCAAAGGCTGGTGCAGCAAACATTATTATTAAGAGATCTGCACAGATACATCTTACTAGAATAAATACCAGCACTAAATGCAGCCACGCACTCCCACCTCTGATTACAACAACAGATCAGTTTCAGAAAAAAAGGGAAAACAGCAAATACTTTATCACAAACAAAGGCAAGGAGGAATCCTAGATTACAAAATGACATTTTTAAACAACCGGTTTTCAAAAATTAAAAAAACATTTTAGCTGCTGCTGGTTGAAGGAGAAGAAATAGCCTGGAGTGCCCTCTGGATCAGAAATAAAATGCATTCTCTCTGCTGGGAGAAACATCATCAGAATGTACTGGAAGAAACATCATCAGAATTAACTGTACCATTACCTAAGTAGCTGCTGCAACAGCCTTCCTTCTCTGCAGAAATGTCCTTGTGAGAAGTTACTCCTCCCTCTGGGGTTTGACTTCGTTTTCTAGAAAGAGCACTAGTTTTCCTAGAAATCTTTTTACATTCCAGTTGCTCAATTCTTTGCCTCTGCTCTTGAAGATTATGCTCTAGCTCATTAATTTTAATCTGTCAAGAAAATCTTTTTTAAATGCATAGAAAAAACGCAGTTCAACTGAACACAATTGGAAACATAACTCAAATGCAAACCTAGCATTTTCAACTGCTGATTTAAAAACTACATTCACCCAAAGGGTCTGAAAGGAAAAAAAACCAAGCACAAATGAGGAAATTAGACTGGTCAGCTGCAATGCTCAATCCATGCCTGAAGAGGAAATACCCTCTTGAAGCTTCTAGAACTGCTCCTGGCCACACAACCCTACCTTCACTCCAGTTGTGATGCCAGACTCTTTGCACAGCAGGGCCACAGACCTTGCTGCCCAAAAGAACGCTCTTTGTCTTCATCTGGTTTGCCTTCTGCTGAACTTCTGAGAAAAATCAGCTCATGAAACGTGCAGAAAAACACCAGGGCTGGTGCCAAAGAGGTCACAAGGTGCATATACAATTGGAAGGAGGGGTAGGCAGATGAGTAAAGAAAAATCCAAGGGAATGGGAGACATCTTTCTGCTACAGACAGACCAGTGACAGAGTTCACTTTTAAAGGGAACTACAGGCTACCCTCCAGTTTCCCTGTCATGGGAAACTAACTATAAAAAGAAAAGCATGGTCTCATTTCACAAATGTAAGAATTACTTTTCAGTCTCCCTAAAAGCTTATGTTTGGCTGTTTGATACCAGCTCCAACAAATTCTACTTACAGTGAGATTTTTAATTGCTTCGCTTTGCTCCTTGTTTGTTTTGGTTTCTTTAACATAACGCTTCTGTAGCTCATTATACATCTGAAGTAGTCTAAAACAGAAATGCATAAATTGCTGTAGAACATGAGAGATGACAAAATGGCATCATTTATGGTAAAAGTATTAGAGATGCCCCACAGAGATCACTTGGCCTGTAGCTGTGCTGCAGAGACTCGTAATAGGAATATTCAAGATGGCAGTGAATTAAATGTGACTGTCAACACAGAAAGAGAAAGCACCAGAAAATAACAGCAAAGCAAGTTAAAAGAATGCTCTGTATGGATGCCAAAGAATCCTTTTTACTCAGCCAGACTGAGGATCCCGTTGTTTTTGTCCAGCACACATGGCCACACCCCAATTAAACCTCAGTGCAAATCACTCTTTGAGGGAAGACAACAGCAACAGGAAGCTGGCAGTGACTTTGCAGTGTCACATACAGCATTCCTCTCCCCATCAGTACAACAGGAATAGCAAAAGGACACTTTTTTTAAAATCCTTTAAGCATTCCTCTCCCCATCAGTACAACAGGAATAGCAAAAGGACACTTCTAAAGGATTTTTAAAAGTTTGTCCAGCACAAATCAAGAACCATGATGAGGACACATGAGGCAGCTCCCAGCTCTCTGTGTTGCACAAAACATCTCATTGCTTCCAGGTGTGTGGGTGTGAGGATATGAGTGAATGAAATCTATGTGAAAATGAGTGGGTAAAATAAATGCCAAATAAACAGATTAGGGCTGTTAGCTTTCCCTCTGATATTATTTTGCATCGTGTTCTTCTGTACTAATTTCCCACCATATTTCACAGCATTCAGCGAACATACACAAGGCCCACAATTTAGCTGATGGACACGAGCAGGCATTTTTCCTGTTTTTTTAGGAATTACAGTAAGAGCTGCCATTCATAATGTCATGACTGCACACCACAAGCAGGATGAGCAATACTGTAGCACAGCACAGCTTTGTGAAAAAAACACACAAACAAATGCTAGGAAAAAAAACCTAGGTCAGGTTATCTATGCAATGTAACACAAGGCAGGTACAGCACTCAATTCAAAGACTAACTTGGACTTCTTCCACACGAGCACCTAACTAGGAACTCAATTTGAGCCCAGAGCCAGTCACCCAGCCTTCCTTTGTAACTGTGCAGCTTGCAAAGAGACTCCAACACACTGTAAAGATATTGTAAAAAAAAAAAGAAAATGGGTCTTCTACAGCCACCTAAAGGAAACACTAAAAACAGGGCACTTGGCCAAAGAGCAACAGAGATCTGTGTAAGATCCACATTTATGGAAGCAGACAAAAAGCAGCCTTTGAAGGGGTGAGCAGTCAAGAATTTTACAATTTTACAATCAAGTCATAGAGGGACGGAGCAATATTTTACATAGCTTGCCTAGTTGTTAAAATGTTCCAGTATATTTTTTCTTAAGGACACAATTGTAGCTTTTGCATCAGAAAAGCAGTTACAAGACTTGAATTCTATCACTTATTGGCAAACTACAGTAAGTAGTGGCTCAACTCTAAAATAATTAGACTGAAAAGTAGAACGCTTCTCTAGCTTATTTCAAAACCAGTCTATAAATTTTATATGCACAAAACAATGAGCTGAGAAGGGTTCCACAAAATAAAAGTGAAACCACTAAATTCTAGGTTTAAAAATCTACAAAAAAGATCATATGTGTGCACACAGACACATGAAGGAGGTTCGTAGCTCATTGACTTTTTCTCAATGAACTATTTGAGAAAGAAATCCAGTTTGCTCTTTGCTTGGTGCTATTTTCAAGTTTAACCCAAGATTTTGTAATTATTTTTAAAATGTGAATGATTTCCCATTGTTTCAAAGGCTGAAAGCCACTTGCATAACAGCTTAAAACAATAAACTGACTTAACCATGAACATTTTCTACACTACAGAGAAGAATAATTCTGTGAAGAAGCAGCTTCCAAGAACTCACCTGACACTGTCACTCTCTAGAACCATATCCTTGCTGTCTCCACCCTTATGCCATAAATGGGTTTCTGTTTGAACCTGAACACTTAATTGAAACAAACACAACAGTTTCATAAAATCATATTTCACCAATTTAATTGAATTACACCAAGCAACTGAAAAAAGCCAAGTTACAGTTTGATTTTATGGTAGAGGTTTCCATGCAGGATCATAAACACACCAAAACTTAAGCCTTGGAAGATTTTTGTGAACTGGTGTGTAAATCCTGGCAAAACACTCTCCAAACCACTAGCACTATAGTTTTTCAGGCCCTTAGGTTCTAAGTCTTTTAAACAGCATTGATGCTACTCAACTTTTCTTTACCTTACTACTTTTTGGTGGAAAAATAGTGAAAAAGCCTTTGTAGTTCGATAGAGAGAGCATACTGGCTCAGCTGGAGTATTACTTTTGATACTACAACTGTTTCTTTCACTACAATAAATGTTGTACAAGATGCCCCAGATCCTTTGTTCCTCTACAGACCCCCAGCATTTTCCACCCCACCATCCTGTTCACAGATGGCTCCTTAAAATACACAGAGCAGATAATGCCCAGCTCATCTTAAGGTCATGCAAATAAAAGTCCTGAAATGCTGCACTTCTTTTGATGCAAAAGAGAAACGTTTGACAATTCTTACTCTCTGCTTGTGCCACAGACATGCATTAACTGCTGCAGATGCAGTTGTTCCTGGATCTGACCCAGATTCCTTTCTAGATCCTTATTTTTTATGTGTAGTTTTTTCACCTTCTTGACTAACTGCTCATTTTCATCAGTGAGCTGAAAAGGAAGAGAATTGAAAAACAAAAAATCAAGGAAAACTTTCAAATCAAATATTAATTAAGCTGATAATGCTTCAAAAAAAAACCCTCTCCCAAAAACTTTACTACATTTTTCCTAAACCAGAGAAGCATCTAAAAAGGAAAAGGTAGGAAAAACAACTGGCTTCAAATTTTATGAACATTTGACTACAACAAAGCTTCTTTAACAGGTATCTATTAAAGGTGTCCAATATAACTTCATCATTCATTAAGGAACGTAGGGAACTGCTTTTGCATTGAAAATTAATCACAGAGGGACAAAGCACCCAAGTTAAACTATCAACAGCAGCTCTGCAACTAACCTGGTGTTTATTTTTGATTTAACCTCAACAGAGACAGAAAGGCAGCCACAATAGATGAACTTCTTGCATACATGCTTAATGGACCTTGCCCAGCAGTATGCAGTCATACATATATATATATATATATATATATGAGATAGTATAGTAATTTGAGGCAATATATAGCTATATGCATTTTGTGTATATACTTATATGTGTGTGTATATATTAATTAATGTATATATAATATATACATATATATAGCACATATATAATATATAAAGCTATATATGGCAATATATTTTACATACGTAATACATATAACTATTTATAGTTATATATAGAACATATATAAATATAGGGTATGCATATATATAGCATTTATATGTACATATATTAATTAATGCATATATAATATATAAAGCTATATATAAGGCAATATATTATACACACATAATACATTTAGCTGCATTTATAGTTACATATATAACATATATAACTATAGGGTATGCATATATATAGCATTTATGTGTGTGCATGTGTGTGTGTATATATATGTATGTATGTGCATATATAAAATTAGTATTTACATACATACACATATATATATATATATATGAGTGTATAGCCTACAGGGTACTGATTACACCCGAGGCCCTGGGCCAGCACCGAGCCCCGCTGCGCTCTCAGCCTGAGCTCGGCGCCGAAGGCAAACCCGGCCCAGCTCCTGGGGCTCCCGGCAGCCGGGGCCGCACTCACTTGGAGGCACCTGTGTACGACGGGCAGCGCCATGGCGAGCCGGAACAGGCCGGGATAGGCCGGGATAGGACGCCGGAGCAGGCCGGGATGGGCGGGATGAGCCCCGGGATAGGCCGGGACGGGCCCGGGATGGGCCGCGAGCAGGGACGTCAGAGCCGAGCGACCGCCAGGCGCCGCCGCCCTCCGTGCGGGCCGGAGCGCAGCTTTGCCTGGCCCGGGGCGGCCGGGCCTGCTCCGGCACCGGCTGCGGCCGGCGGGGAAGCGCCCCCGTCCGTTTTCCCAGGAGCTGGGCTCGATGGGCCTGCTGGGGCCCTTCCATCTCAGCGGCACCGACCAGGGGATATTGAGAACTCTGCGGCCGCCGACGGCACGGCTACACCAAGACAGGCCAAGTGAGGGATCTCTGCAAAAGCAGGTTCTGCATCTCCCCGCATCACAAGCGGAGGCTGTCCCAGTGGCGTCCCCCCGGCAGGAGACAGCAGCGTGCCTGGTAATGCTGCTGTCCCCCGGGAGCAGGGGCTGTGTCCTTGGTGCTGGTGGTGCCTGCTGTTGCTGCTACTTGCTGGGCCTTGCCTTTTGTGTATAAATATTTAAAGCGAGGGTGCCCAAGAGGATGGAGCCAAGCTCTTCTCAGTGGTGCCAAGCAATAGGACAAGAGGCAGTGGGCGCAAACTGACCTGCAGGAAGGTCCAGTAGGATATGAGGAAGAACTGTACTGTGGGGTGACCACAGACTGGAACACGGTTACCCAGGGAGATGTGGAGCCTCCCTCCCTCCCTCACAAGAGATACTCGAGAACCATCTGGACACAATCCTGTCCATGTGCTCTGGAATGGCCCTGCTTTAGCAGGGAGGTTGGAGCAGATGACCCACTGTGGTACCTTCCAACCTGACCCAGTCTGTGATTCTGTGATTTGGGTCTTTATTTTTCTGGTATTTTTGGCAGACCAGGCTGCAGGGCACACAGGCAGGACAGAAGCATTCCACCCTCAGGACTGGACCTTACAGACACCATACCAGCAGCAGTCACTCACCAGCCACAGGAAGAGCAGCTATCACAGCAAGACTGACCCAAAGCAGTGGTTATTGTCTGCTGGTCTTCCAAGCCTTTGTTGGTGGCAGTTTAAAACCTTTCCTGTTCCTCTCTCATTCACTAGGTCTCAAATCTAGGTCTTATTCTCTGCATCTCCTGTCTTTGTACAAAATCTTGCCTCACTCATTGCTTAAAGCATATCACATTTCCTTCTTTTTTTTCTGGGTTTTTTTGTATGAAATGTTGCCAGATGCCACCTGCCCCTCCATCTTAACCATGTAGCTCACCTGACTGCAGTGCCTGACAAATTTTGAATAGAACCAATCACAAAATCACAGAACACTAGGGGTTGGAAGGGACCTTTGAAGATCATCTAGTCCCAAACCTGCTGCCCTGTGCAGGGATACCTCCCACCAGACCAGGTTGCTCAGAGCTCTATCCAGCCCGAGTTTGAACACCGGCCAGGGCTGGGGCATCCACAACCTCCCTGGATAACCTGTTCCAGTGCCTCACCACCCTCACAGTAAAGAACTTCTTCCTAATATCCAGCCTAAATTTCCCCTTTCCATTTGGACTCATTACTCCTTGTCCTATCACTACCGTTCCTGACAAA